AGAGAGAGAGAGAGAGAGAGAGAGAGAGAGAGAGAGAGACCTGCAGCTTCAGTGGCATGAGTACCAGGGGCTACACTAATATCCACCTGGAAATAAGTTAAGAAAAAAACGTGAGACCATTAGAGGACCATGAGAGCAAACCAATTAAAATGTCAATATATATTTAAATATACAACATAACAAGAATCGCATCATTACAAGTTGGAAATTGTTCTTAAAATGAAAACTCAGAATATCTGTGTATCAACTTCGACCTTGCAGAAGTATATATTTTCCACGATGCAAATTTCCCATATGATCACCACGTTTGTTAATAGTTTCGTATCACACACTAAGAAATAATCATTTTATTCAACTATACTTCCCTAAGTAGGCAAATGTCCCTTCCCTTGATGACAAATTCTGGTCAAATTTGACAGAGGGATGCATATGTGAACTGTCCAACACATTTTCAGGAACCAAGAGAATTCCATGAATGAAATGAGATCAAAATCCGTTATTTTGTAAATGTATTCTTCACCCCCCCACCCCCACCCCAACAAAACCCCCAAAATAAAAGATAGAAGCAGTAAATGAGAAACATTGAGACAAAACCACATTCATTAGACAGCATGCCTTTAAAACCAATTACAAATAGAAACCGCGGCAATTAAGCCCTGACTCCCCACAGATTGCAGCAGCAGCAGAAGGCAGGAAAATTTGTTTTGCACAACATATTACCCAATTAATCAGTTTGTACTTTGTTGGAATCAGCTGTCAGGTATACATAGGTAAACAAGAATCTTATGCCATTCTATACTATTGCTCATCATCATCTAGCTATTGCACTTATTTTTCTTGTTGCTGGTCATGCTATCGAACTAATTTCGGGATTGGACACAGTATCGTCTACAATTACAAGAAGCTAAATTTTATTCCCCATGGTTACAGGATCAGCCATATGAAACATTCTGAAATATAGTCTCTAATTATATCTCAAGCATCAACAAACTTCTTCTAAGAAACTGACACTACTCCGTCTGCATCGCTACTTCATTTATCAACTTGAAGTACAATTGATCTTAATATACTTGATCTCAGATAAGGATATACTTGAAACTAGGAAACAACAGCATGCTAATTTTTTGTGAGCTATTTCTTAAAATTATAAGCATTAAATGGGAACTGCATATTGAATATGGTTAAATGACAAGAAAAGTAAGGGAAATGGATCTCAGACAAGGCAAGAGAAAGGTAAGGAGAAAAGGTAGAAATAGGGTAATTTGTCTGGATCTAAAAGATAGGGCAACAGAAGTAAAAATCATGATTGAATTAGATAGTTAGACTAGCATTAGGAAAAGAGTTGATTAGTGTTCTTTGCATGAATGCTCAACACGTAGGGATAGAGCAATTTCACATATTCAATATCAAATTTTTGTCCAGCAATATTTGATGGTCATTCATCGAAACATGAATTAAAATGTGAATGGCAAGTGAAGAATGGGTTTCAGATTGAAGTTAATAATGAAACGAGATTTTGGACTTTGAACTAACCTATGCTTTGGTGCTAATGGGGTAGTACTACTTAACTAATGGTAATCAGTCAAAAAAGATACACACTGAATGGAAGATAAAGAGGCATACTTTGTACCGAGGTGGCAAGCAGCGCATAAGTTTCACACGCAAGCATAATCCAATCACTGTTGCCATGCTACAATGTTCAACTGTTGGAGTAAATGCAACCCTGAAGCAATAACCTTTAATGAATAAAATGACTTGCATAATCAAATTCACGTAAAAACACATCAAAAAGATCTATGTACCTCACATGACTTTTCGTGTCGTCCACTTCAATTGCATCTTCTGTTATGACCTTCAGCTCTTCCAAAGAATAAGGGTGCTCTGGATCTTTTATGTCTCTAATATGATGTAATACTGTTAAGAAGTACAAAAATTTCTATGCATTGGGCTTTCCCCACATAATCTTACTTCATAAAATGTTAATTTTTGAATTACAAGATAATCTACAGAAAAGAAAATGTACAAAAATGATTAGAAAACAAACAAATGCTATAGACGAAAGATGTCTTACTTTAAAAAAATATATACTATAATAGTTATTGACCAATAAGCAGAAAATGTGGTCTGTGGTTCAGACTATATGCTGTTAACGAATTTCAAATGTTACTGCTACTGAAGAAAAATACCACAGCTTACTCCAGCACAATGGAAAATCCAATTTACGAAGAAAATAGAAACAGTACAAATTCATATGAATGACTAATTTCGTTTATGAAATTTAGTGGAACAGTAAAAGATTCTACGGCCTTTTTAAGTGTTAATATCTTCAAACAATATTCAACCGAGGCATAGTATAAATAAAACGATGTATTTAGCAATACAGATGCATTACTCAAAAGAGATGTCCACTATGCAGTTCATGGGTGAACAAGAAAGCGATCCATTATACTACAAGACACTTGAATTTGACACCTATAAAAGGTCCCATATATCAAATTTTGTAATCAAGATAAAATTCAACAGTAGGGAAAACATACAGATAAACACACGGAGCGAGAGATGCAACCATTACGCTTAAAGGATATCAAAAATTTCTAGTTGGTCAATTGGTTCGGCTGCATATTCGTCCACATCAACTGGCGCAGTTCGAGCTCGACGCTCCTTTTTTCCATAAACAATGGGATTGGCATTTATTAATCCAGAGTTCATGGCGACTATTCAACCTCAACCACTGCATCATCAACAGTATTAGCTGAAATGACTAAGCGTGGAAAATGACAATTGGAAGCTGCAATAAATGTGGCAATAACATTTTGCTGATCAACTAATTCTTCTGGCCGAGTTTATAGATTAATAAATTTCATGACACCAACTTTTTGTACAAAATCTATCTCCTTATAGAAAATGCTTCTTTAAAATTATGTTCCTCTTAAGAAAACTGATGAAAAATAAGATTTGAGTATTTTATTCTATTCATCTCATAGTGAAACCAAAATCGAAACAATATGGAGAGGTTTTTGTGTCTATCATGCACTCTTAACAATTTTAATAGCTATAGACATTCCATAATAATATTTATTTAAAATAATTTAAGGAATCTCAAACTTTCTCCATTAAAACTGAAAGACTTTTGATATGCAAACACTATAAATCCATATGTTGTTCTATATCTCCATGAATCTAAGGACTTGTGCTCCCAATGGCCTATGCATATAAACTGAACAATTATCATTGTTCTAATAGCATATAATGTTTTGATTTAAATTATGTGGAATCCCAAACTAATGAAATAAAATCGGGTCCAACCAAACACGAAAAAGAAAGAAATATATATGAATTCAACTTACCAACGTATTTCAACCTTCAAATTAAGGAAAATTGGATATTGGAACTGTCAAAGTTTCAAGAAACCTGCGGCCCGCCTTTTCAAACAAAATTTGTTCAATTTTGTGTATATCAGTAATTATGTGTGTTCACGAAGTAATAATAAATGAAATTAAAAAAAGAGAGGAGAGAGAGAGAGAGAGAATGGTTTTACTATGTAGAAAGGGCCCACACTCAGCAGACCCAGAAAAGAAGGATGGCATAGCCCAAGATAGGCCTGGCCCAAACAAGGATTAAAAATGATAAAATTTAAAATGAAAAATTTCATAAGTAAGAGATTAATTATGACACATTTCAAAAATAAGAAAATAAGTTTCAAATTTTAAAAATCAGATTTTTATTAAAAATTATTTATAATTTAATTAATTATTTTAGTAATTAAATATATTTAAGTCACAGATTTAAATAATTTGATCACAAATTAACGATTTAATTCGTTAATTATTTTTTTTTTGTCACAAATCAGAAATTTTATGTCACAAATTATTTTACGGTCACAATTCAACAATTTTATAGGTCACAATTTATTCATCGGTCACAAATCAAAAAATTTATAAGTCACAATTTATTTATTGGGTACAAATCACAAATATTACAATTTACAACTTATTATACAATCACAAATTATCAAATTATCGGTCACAGATTAACAATTTTTTAGGTCACAAATTTTTTTTTGGTCACAATTTATCTTTTTCATTGATCACATATTATTTATTGGCCACATACTAACCAATTCAATAGTTACAGTCAACCAAATAATTTGTGACCACTACCAACACTTACGATTCACAGTCACAATTTTCAGGTCACATATCTAATTGTGAGTCACAGTCACAATTTTTAGGTCACGTATCCAATTTTGAGTCACAAATCAACCAAAATGCCACGATCATCGCCATGGCCATCACAACCACTGTCACGACCAACTGTGACTTCCAAATTGTGAGTTACAATTGGGGGTCACGATCACAAATTTCAGGTCACAACCATCGGAACCCACCACAACTACCATCGTCACCACAAAATCGTGCAGATCACCAATATTGGCCTATCGTTGTCGCACACGCGCCGCCATCGCCGCACACACACCACCACACCCATGCACAAAAACTTTCAACAACAAAACTTCCCCATATCCACCACCACCACAATGTTCAACACAAAACCCACCCCAAAAAAAGACCAGCAACACCACCATCACCACAACCTCAGAGCACCGTAAACACCACATCCACCACTAGATTGCGACCAGCGATAGTTGCAATGTGACATTGAAGCGACAATGTCGCGATGTGCACAGCAGTGCAGTGGCGACGTGTCATCTACATATCCACCGTCGTGATCTGCATATCCATCGCTGCCACAAAATCGTGCATATCTGAGTATCGCCATATCAACCGTCGCCGCAATCTATTGTATATGCGGATTTTGCCTCAGATCTACTACATCTACCGTTGTTGCAGCTGCGACGACGAGAGAGGTGAGAGAGAGAGAGAGACGTGAGCTAGAGGGTTGACAAGAGAGTTGGGTGAATAGAGAGGGAGAGGGAATTGAGATTAATATAATTAGGATTTGAAATTGTTTTACTTAATTAATTTTTAAATATATTAACTAATTAAAAAATTTCTGATTTGCGAAATACTAAATATGACATCTTATTTATGTAATGAGAATTTTTAATCTATTAGAATCCGTAATTTCCACAATTTAAAAACCATCAATATCACACCAACATCCACCATGGAGTTGTCGTTGCATTGTGAGCACCATGCTCAGCGACAGGGCGTAGCCTAACGATGGTATTCTGAAGACGGTTGTCTTCTAGCGAGAGGGAAGTGAGAGACAGGAAAAAGAGCTAACGAAATCAAGAAAGCGCGTATGTATAATTAATTTTTAATTTATTATTAATCATATATTTATTTTCTAAATGTTAAATAACTAATTACAATCTGAATTATGGAAGATGAAACTGAAAATTTTATTTATGAACTGCAAACTTGAAAAAATGGCCTTAGTCCTTTTTCAAATTAAAATGGATAGAATAGTATGCTTTTTAAGAATGAGTGGTTGAAAATGAAGGAATTTTTTTTATTTACGTGTAATATTATTTTATGAAAGATTGTGTAATTGGAAATATGAGAGAAAAATAAAATTTTATTTAATGGGGCCAAATGGGGCTTAGATGTAATTTCCACTGCGGTGTTGAATGGGTATTTGTTGGTGTGGTGTTTGGCCATGCCCTGATCGTCGCTGCGCTTTCAGATCGTCTAGGCAATTTGAGCCCCGTGCACTTCGGTACTTAGCCATAGTTTTGGGATGGTCTTCGATTGTGGTTTTAGGGATGATTTCTATCTTTTCTTTCTCTATATATCCTTCCATTATTTCTTCATCAAACATCATTGTTGGATACCATGACTTGACGCTCAAGACGTCATTACCACTACAGCGGCATCACTCTAAAGCAGTCAGTGCCACTGTTGCGATCTCGTCAACCAGATTTGGTTTATGACCAATGGTTATTTAGTGATTTTGGATATGATTTTGCAGTAGTTGTGCAGTTATTTTGGATCTGGTTTTGTGGTAGTTTTGGAGTGATTTTGGGGTGTGTGCAATCTGGGAAAAATATGGAGTTTTTGGGTTCTGGAGTTTTAGGGGTAGTTGGTGGGGAGCGATAGTGGCCGTGATAAGGGTTGTGGTCATGATTGATAATTTTGGATTTAATTTTTTGGTGGCGTTTGAGTGGTGGTGGTTGTGATGTTGGTTGTGGTGACAATGGTGTGGTGATGATGTTGATCATGGGTGGTTGTGGGGTGGGGTGGGGTTAGTTTGTGATCAATTATTTGGTAGATTGTAATCAATGAATTGATTAATTTGTGACTAATAAATAATATATAACCAATTATTTGGAATTGCAACCAATAAATTGGAGTTTTTGTAACCAATAAATACTATATAATCGATAATTTGTGATCAATAATTAATATGTGACCTAAAAATTTCTTAGATATGAAATTTTCCCTTTAAAAAATTCACACTATAGTTAAGGTCCGTTTGATTGTAAAGATGAAATTTGGGTGGAAAGAAAACGAATTCTAGGGAATTGAATTGTTTAGAAATTGTTTCCTAAGAATTGTAAATTATTGCGTTTGATTGGTATAATTTTTCACGTGAAAAATGTTGAAATAAAAGTGTTTTTTTTTGTGTTCATTTAACTTTGTTTTACATGAAAATTGTAATTAAAGGGATAGAATTTATTGGTATTGGTGATGAAATTTGTTTCCATTGTCAAAAAAAAAAAAAAATCAAGATAATCATCTATCTTTTGGTGTTCGTTTGACTTTGTTTTACATGAAAATTGTCAGTTAAAGAGAAATATTTTTTTACAATAATTCTTTAAATTTGTTTTAATTCCAAAAAAAAAAATGATATATATATATATAAGTGCTACAGTAATCGAGAATTCCAATTCTCACCAATTTTGATGAGAATTGAAATTCCTTGAATTGATGGAAAATATTGACATGGCAAGAAAGTGAGAATTTCAATTCTAGGGAAACTTTTGGACAATCAAACACCTAAAAGTTGGAAAATGAAATCGTTTTCCATGGAAAAAATGGTGGAATCAAACTCACTCTTAGTATAACGTGACACATTTTAATTGCAATGAAAATTGTCAATTTTTTCTCATTGTTTTGTCCCCGCATTTTATCTCATTGTGTTCATATCCTCAAAAGTCCATTAATCAAAACATCTTGTCCTCGATGAAGATTTTCTTCCAAAAAAAAAAAAAAAACAGTTAGAATTTGGATAAATTTTGTGATTCCAAACTAGTACAAATAGCTACATAGATGTCTTGGAAATTATCGTTCAATACATTTTGGACATCAAATGGTATGCTATACACTTGAATGATGTCATATGATCAAAACTACAGAAATTCGACAAACTTCTTGTTTTCGACCCTTTTCGTGACTCCAAACTAGTAAATGCAGGTCCATATTATGACGTTGAATAAGTCCTAAATCATTTTGAAAAACCTGGACATTCATAGGTGGGTAATATTCTTGAATGGTGACAAATTTGGACCAAAACGGTGGAAATTCTCATCCAACTGATAGTTCTAAACGAATTTTTGTGACTCCAAAACTAGTAAATAGATCGACATCAAGAAGAATGTTACTCGATTTGAGATCTCAGTGAATTATCGGTGTTTTGCTATGATGTTGCAAGTAGTCCAAAGCAGAGGCAACATCAATTGCAATGTTAAGCCTTATGGTAGGCTCAACTTCCTACATTCACTAAGAAATAATAATTAGGATCAATAATAATAAGGTTCCATAACGTTGCACGTATTATTTCAGATACACTATTGCAATAGATCCATCATTTGAGCGCTGTCAAATGTCCAAAGGAAGATGGAATCATTCCTACAAAATTGTTATCTTCGATATATACTTCCTCCAACATGAGGCAATCGCCAAGGGAGTTCGGAATCATTCCCACAAAATTATATTAGTTTCTAATTATTTAGTCTCACTTTAATATCCCTAAAATTGATACGTAGACGTATTCAATATTAAGCACTCATATTTTGAAAAATCCTTTTTTTTTTTCTTTATTTGTGAAACCGAGCTGACATCATTAATTTTTATCATCACAAACTACTGATGAAGAAAACATGACATATAATTCATCCAAATTCTAGTACTAGAAAGTAGAAACTAGTAAATTAAAAGATGCAATTATGTGGTCCAATTCATCCCCTCTTGATGAATAAAGTAACAAGAACCACAATTTACATCACGCAAAAGAACTAAAATGTCCAAGCAAATAGCTCCATTGGGAGCACACCTAATGTCCGACTTGAGGCTTCACACGCTAACTATCGGGCTTTCCCCAACTTTAGGATCGATTAACCCGTGTGCAAGTTTTATTCACACGAAACTTTTTCCTTTGTCAACCTTCAAAGTTCCTATTTGTATATTTGCTAGCATTGAGGGGGAAGCAATACTTTGAGAATTTCTTAATAACTATGAGTGCAATTTTTTTCTTAAAAATAATTAAAACCTATAGAATTTGGGCTCAACTCCTCAGCCTTATATAATGGTGGATAACTTGGCATCCATATCAAATCCCAACCAGGACCAAATTATCAAGTTACTAGTTTAATCGAGACATTATTAATCCAACCGAGCACAACTTGATGTTGCAGTGAGATAAATTAAAATTTTAAATGATTTACAGCAGACTATAAGGATTAATCCGAAAACAATATCCTATATAGAGGCTGGTTTGCCAAGAGTTCAAAGTGAAAGGGCCTTGGTTGCAAACTTCAAACTCTCCACTCTCATAGGATCATATATACTACTAACTAAAGTCCACATGCAATTTGAAAAGGTTGTACTCATCTAATGTTGGACTAAGAAGAACTGAACCCATGTACACTAGTCCACATATTTCAGCAAGCTAAATATCAATGAAAATTTGAAACATTGTCCATCCAAAAAGGAATGCTTAAAAATATGATATCTCAGTACTGAAATTCAAGCCCAATCCATGCCGTCCTGGATCTTAAACTCGGATATTTATTGAATAAAATAACCTGTCGATTTTGAATGAATAAAACATGCTCTCCCACTAACCCAATGCATCATCCTCTTTGATCCTAGTTAATGGAGAAGCAGAGGTCCCTACAGATATTTTACCATGCCACGACCTTCCACACTGAGTTTCGTAGCTTGAAGTTGCTTCCTTTTTGGTGCTTTTAGTTGTTGCAGCTTCTTGTTCATCTGCAGGTATAAAACAGTGTCTTGAGTATGGAACTCAGGTACAATACTACACACTACCACGAGTAAGATCAAATCAGATCCTTAATGACAATACAATTTCTGCAGGCCAACAAGAAGAATAATACACGCATTCTTTGAACAAAGATATGCTTCACTACATAAAGATACAGCTATGCATATTCTGAAGTGACTTTGCATTCATTACATTAAGATGCAGCTATGCATATTCTGAAATGACTTCATTGCAAGTAGAAGGTTTCTATTACACGAAAATGATTGGAAGATCAATACCTTCCTACCAAAAGGAATTCTTTACTGGATCTTATAGCATGAAGGAAACATCACTAGTCAATAGAACTCAGTCCAGTTATTTTAGGTTTTGATTTGGGGAGATGAGCAGGAAATGAATGCTGCTCAAAAGTTTGCATATTTGAAAGCAAAATGCACATAACAGGGAAACAAAAAGCTGAAAAATCTAGATTCAACTGGCCTGGCGTGTTTCCAAAACATTCTTTCTACCACTTTCAATGAAAAGAAAATGAGTTTTGAGTCAAATTTGTGCATGTGGATTACAAGGACATTAGAACCTCTAAGGAAGTCTCCTACAATTAGCAGAAAGAGAGTGCTCTTCTCTACTAGAATGGTCAACACAAAGACACAGAAATCAGATGCACGCACACACCAACAATATATTTAGTTTCCGAGAAATACTCAAAGTGCAGACAGAACCAATGGCAGATCGTTGTTCAAATCAATGAATCTATATTTACTCCCCAACAAATAAGCCCGTTACTATCAAGTTACCATATGTAGACCGCATTTTAATGTTGAATTCAGGAGCTAACCTTGACTCGGCGCTGATCCAGCACTATCTGTTTAGCACGCGCACGAACTTCATCTGGATCAACCTTCGATTGGGGCCGCACCAAAAAGTCCATTGACATTGCTTCAGGCCTTGAAGCATGTTGCCTAGAAGATGAATGGCCAGATTTTGGCCCCCTGTATATTGTCACAGAAACTTCTTAGGTTACATGCATTAGTAGCAGGAATATGCCAAATAATAATCACAATGACATCTTACTGTGAAAGTTCAGCTATATCAAGGTCTCCCTGGGAATCCATTCCTGAGGATTTGTTCATCGGCCTGTAGAAAACATAATAGACGTTGTATCAGTAAATTCAAGTTGTATTCTAATAGATAACAGATGTCTAAGTGTGTCAGAAGATAAAGACATACTTTTTGCCAGAAGATCTCCTGAAAATCCGCTCATCCTCAATATTTCTCATGTCCTCAAACCTCGTGCTCTTGTTAAATATAGGTCGACTCTGTGAGAATAACATCCAGAGTTTCTAAATCTTGAAAGAATACAGTCCAAAACGTAAACAATGCATGAAAATAATATAGAATGAGAAAAATTATTTTTTAAAGAAAAACGACCACAGAAATCACTAGCAAGAACATTATTTTTTAGGCTAAAAATAAAGTGTCACTTTTTTATGCTTCAAGAGAAAACATCAATATATTTGTCTTCGAAAATTTTCCAAATATGTATATGTATACAGGAAAAAAAAATGGAAAAATATAACAAGGTGGAGAACAGGATACATAAAGTTGTTTCATGTTTGAAAACGATGTAATTATTAAATTAAAAACTACGAGTTACCCATTTGTCAACTAAATCTTTAGCAAGTTTTCTGTTGGCAGTAGTCTCCTCATCAGACTTCGACAAAAACATTATAACCTGCACAAACATGAAAATAACCAGCACAGTAATTCATCCCACCGCACAATATATCTGGATAAGTCTCATTGGTAACTAAAGCTAAAATCGGTAAACAAACCTTTCCGAGACCACTCTTCTTTAGCTGTTCTCTTCTATCAAACTGGTCTAAATCAATCGGAAACTGTAAGAAGAGCACACCCCTTTAGCACCCATAGAATGTTAAGAGAAACAATAAGTACGTCATAAAGATAAGAAAGAAACTATTTTCATACATCAGTCAGGATCTTTAGAACTGCAGCACGGACATTGATGTTAGGTAAGCTTCCATCTGGTAGTGGTTCGAGCCAATTCTTCAAAAGAGTTAACACTCCATGATCCAAAAATTCTTGCTGAAGATGCTTTCTGAAAATGAACAATCCAAATGTAAGGAAATTATCACATTGCATTAACAAGAAGCCAAAGAAACAATGAAGAAAGCAACTCACTTAGAAAGGACATCAGTAAGAAGAGGGAGTTTTCTAAGTTTATTTATAGCAGGTTTCTGTTGTCTATTCAATTCTGCATCTTCCTCTGCAACAACTTCAAGTTCAGCCATGACATTCTCAACAAGCAGTGCAATTTCTGCAGCACTTTTCTCAGTTTTCTTCTTTTTCTTGCCCATCTTGAAAAGCTGTATGATTTCCTCATCCTCTTCTCCTTCTTCTGCCTGTATGGAAAGAAAAAGGTTTCACCATTGACACCACCATTAAAGAACATGCAGAAGCACTGCTCAAATGATATTGTGGACATAAATATATGCTGGTGATTACATTTTTGACCAAAAAGTACATAACAGCCATCCACATTTACGATGCCAACTCATCCATCACCAGCAGACAGAAAATTCAAAAAGGGAAAAAAATCAGACTTCAGTAAGCAAAGAGATGAAAAGCAAAAGTACGCAACCTGAAAAGATACGTGTGTGCCATAGAAACCCACCAATCTTTTTTTGCATTGACCAAATACACACCAAAAAAGAAATGGAGAGAGAGGGAAATGAGGAAGGTATTTATGTTTGGACTGAAAGTGAATTACAACGCATGTATAAATATGCAGAAATTTGCCTTGTAAATGACGGTGTATTATGGGTCCTTAATGAATTTGTTCAATAATGATATTCAAGTAAAGATTAAATTCCGATGTTCTGTTCCAATCACATATCACATTGCATCACCATATGTTACATTAGAGTGCACCATGTAAGTATAACAGACACGTTTCAATTAGAAATCTAACTGTTGCAACCTCGTTTACGGATAAAAAGAACTCAGAATAACAGATACAGAAGTTACTGCATGATGCTTCTTTCAGAAGTTATTTCAAGGAAAGGAATAAAATTAAACAGGGAATGCCGCGAAAAAAAATCTCTGTTGGTAAAATAGAAGAAACTAGTTCAAGCCAGTGCCCTAAAACACAGAATTTCAACGAATGAAAGAACCAACTGGGCCTAAGGGTCTAGTTCAATCATCAGATAAATTATGATCAAACTGCAATAAATCTAGGATGTCATAAAATTGAAGAGTTATATCATAAATATATAGGAATTATAGAGAAAGCTGGAAACTCACAAAAAATAAATGAAGAGCTTCAGCAAATTTAATGAATAATTTACAATCTATGTAACATAGATATTTGGATATTAATATAGAGAACTCAGAAAAATAGATAGCAAATAGAGCCAGACATCAAGTAAACCGGGGGTAAATTAAATTTACCAATCAAACATCTAGACTGACCCGATAATTGATTGAGAATGGTCATCATAACTGGAAATATTCTAGAATAATTAAAACAAATCCAAAAAATCACACTAAACCAAAGAATGGATGCTAATACTAAAATCTGTGTTTTATACATAACCTTAACCATGGAAAAGTAACCATTACGCTTGAGAGGCCGCTGGTCACCAGAGATGCGAATGGACATGGTATGAAGGCAAGAAAAACGATGAGAGTATGCAAGAGAAAGCAATGAGCAAATTAGGGCATATATTTAGTGCCATCTTATATTAGAAAGGAAAGCCCAATTATGATGTGTAGACCTATCCATTCTAAATGGTCTTTAGTATCTAACAGGAAGCACTACTGGACTGGTCAATGGTCCTAGTAGTTGGACCCGGGTTTAGCAGAATAGTCAAAGAAAATATTTGGGAAAATATAATAAATGAATCAAGCCTGAGAACAGCTGTGTTCGGCTTTCCTCTCTGTAAATAATTATGGCTCGCGAGATAATTTCAAAGACATTTAATGCCATTTAGAATGATAAAGGGATGTCGTAAATTTAAATCCACAAAAAGGAACATATGTTAGGCACATTTTTTAGCGTGCATAATGGCTTGGACATAAAGGTCGGGTCGTTACAAAACAAAAGGAGAATTCCCCTCCTTCATTTAGATGATACGCATATGCATCTTCACACAAAAATGCAAATATGTAGATGCAAAAAAATAAAAAAATTAAAAAATAAAATTAAAAAATTCTTAGTAACTTGTTAGAAAATGAAAGGAGGAACATGTAACAATCAAAACTCACTCATCAAAGATGTCTAAATGTAAACTGCAAATGAAGCTAGCTCATCTATGTTCATACAAGACAAGTAAATGGCAGCTGATAATCGCCAGGAATTTGGTTGTACATTCGGAATGGTGCTCAACGTGCTTCAATTCTAGATGAGTCACATTATTTAAACACACAATATATACATCTAATCGAAAACATATCTACTTTAAACATGGTTATGACACCTGGCTTTTCCACGTTGCTTATGTAATGCCCATAATTCTTTACACCCACATCACTGAAAGAATGGGACTACATATAGATATCATCGAAATTCTCCAACACTGGAGATTATAAAAATTAAAATAACTAATACAAAACAATCTATTACTGATGCCAAATGACCACAATATGTTATCTAAAATGGATAGAATTCCAACCTGGGGAGCACGGCTTGGAGAATGTTCATTGTCACTTCCATACCGGTGAGCAGGGTCCACACCACTGTCATCTATGAAATTATCATCATCTACTGTCCTAGCACCCTCTTGGTCATCCTATAACATTTTGAAACCAAGAAAGTAAACAACATGTGACACAAATGTTTAGAGTATTTTTCAGACAATTATGAAGTCATATAATAACTTCAATTGTATAAATTCAAGAAAGATAACCACCATAACATTTAGATTCAGCGGAACCACTTGTTACGTCAATTTGCTATTTAGTTCCCAAAATTGCATTTTTATATGTTCCATACGTACCCACATCAACTTAATAAAGCTTGCACCATCCCAAAAGTTGTATTCTGTTCCAATAACCCCATAAAAGATTTAAATTGTTGCTTGCGAAAACCAAAACCCATACCATTTTTTAAGTTCTTAATAAATGAGAAAACTTACCAAATTAACAGAACCCCACAAAAATTTAACTTTATTGACGATATCCAAATCCAGATCAGCATATTCACATAATTTAATAAAAATCCATTTAACCAAAAATCCACCGTCAAAAATCCATCCCGAGACTAACACTGGAAAAGTAACTGATGAGCATACCAGCAAATTTACAGTTTTGACAGAAAAGTAGCAGATTTCAACATCGAAAAATCCACTCAAGGTTCGCATAATCCTAGCTAAGTTTTCTGAATTAACTCATCTAAATGCACCTATAAAAACCTGATAATAAACTCATAAAATACAATGCAGCGTCTAAAAATTCAAATTTAGTATAACAGAAGGAAACAAACCTCGGAATCACCTCCTGCAATCGTTTCCCACATCTCCTTCACCTCAGGATCAGCCTCATAGTCCCTTGATGTCCCTCCACTCTTCCTCAACTTAAACTTCTTCTCCCCTTTCCTCTTCTTTTCGTCACTTATCCTCTTTTTCCCTTTCTCCCTCTTCCTCTTACCACCATCATCAGAGTAATCATCCCTCACAATTCCCTCAACATCATCATCTTCCTCGACACCAAAACCCCTACGGACCCCACCCTCATCATCCTCAATTCCAAAATCTGAGAAACCGGAGTCCTTCCCTGGGGTGGAAGAAGATTTTTTAATCAATCTCTTCCTGGGTTTTGCCTTGGAATCATTGTACACCGGAGTTGGGGATCGCTCACGCTGGTCGTTATTATACCAGCCATCATCATTTCCATCTTCCAAGATATCCAGCCCACGCTCATCGCGATCAGATTGGACATCCTCCTCAAAATCCATTAACGGCTCGCCATCCTCATCTCGGTAACTGAAAATCATCATTCAAAAAACCCTAATTCAATATAGAAAACCGTCGATTATACATAAATCTATATATGCACGTGTAAATATAGGGAAAAAGTTAAAATAAATAAAATAAATTGACGGATATAAAACCCCAAATTCAATCAACAAAACCCTGATCTACATATATGCATCGACTGATAGAAAAACCCCTAATTCTATAATTGGGGAACTTACGGATCATTTTCATAACCCATGATTGATTTGAAAATTACTATCTGCTACAGGATATCAGAAGGAGAAGCTGCGTTATATTTGTGTTTTCTGAGCGCTGTCAGGTACGCTGGATTTGGGTTTATATATAAATTGAAATTGAAATGGATTGAGGGATATACACACACACACACGGGGACACACGTCATATAATGAATATGGGAAGAAAGTGAAAATCATCGTGTATGGGTGATGTTAAACAACAATAGAGTCAAACACTATGGTTTGGTAAAGTTGAATATCATGAGGTCATGATAAACATAAATTTGACATTTTTTTTTTTTTTTTACAAATCGATTATCTAATGGTTCGATTGGGAGAATACCTGAATTAAGAAACAATAATTTAACTAGATTTGTTGGAACTGAATTGGACCTAGATTGAACTTGGTTCGGATTTTTTTATTAAAGTATTACTCGCCTTTTGTTACAGAATGAATCAATTTGATCTTGTTCTTGTTGCGATCAGTGAGGCACAACTAATATGATTCGATAGATATCTCATAGCATATAATTTCATGTTTCTCAATGTTTTTTGAGCATTTGAATTACTAGCGATTGTGTATTTAGGTGGTAACTTTGAATAATTTTAAGAAATGTTATAGGTGTTGGAAATTATAGTTCTTAGTCATTGTTGAGTTTATTAAACAAGGTAACTTATTTAGCTTGAATTTGTTTTACTTACAACGTTCACTCATACACAGTAAAAGAACTGTAAATATATATATATATACACACAGTGTTCCTTTTTTTGATTATCATGAAACTGCAATAAGATTGATAGAACCATAAATACATGGTTCTGATTAAAAAATTAGGCGAGTTTGATCAAGTTCAGTTATACAATTATACAGGAAATTAACATCTTCATTTACAAAATTTCCATTAGTAAATAGTTTGATTTGATTCTTGAAAAATACCAACCAGACCAACTGGTGCTACCCCTAAACAGAATACTTAAA